CTTAAGCACTCGTCTGTCTGTCATATAACATCGGTTCTCTCGAATTTCACCCTCGCACGAGTTGGCTTGGGAAATCGAAACTTCCTGAGCCCGCCATCTTCCTTTTCGAGGCCCTCGTCTCCGAGCGCTGACGTGCTCCAAAAGCGCACTCCTCGAAGAAGGGGGAGCGTTCGGAAAACGACAGCCGTCGCCAGGTGGTCGCAGCAGACGATAGAGGACCAATCCGCTGAGGTCTCTCAAACACCGTTCTCGCCGCAAACGGGGAGATATATAGAGAGATAGAGAGATACCCAGGAGGATCAAGGGCGACTACCCGTACATTTTTCCGGCAGCAGGGATCGAATCCACACCACCTCCCGCGCGAGCGGCATCGTTGCGGCATTTCACGAAGTGAAACGCACGTTTGCACGAGTAGTGACAAACGCGCTAACCACTCGACCACCTGTCGGTTCCCTACCTAGTCAAACGACATCTTACGGGATTCGACGTCTGTGATGGGTTCCGAATGGGTAGGAAAGCTTGGATCCGGGCCATTTTGATATAATTGCGGAATTCCACGCTCCGCATTGCTGCGTGACGCGGTTAGGCGAAGTTCAGCACTCACAGCTCAGAGAGATCGACTTAATCCCGTCGCGATCGAAATCTCTCGCTCAGGGTCAGCGATCGTATCGGGAGGGATACCGGACGACTGGCGCGAGAGCTCGACCAACATATTAAAAATTTCACGCGTGCGTGATCCGACTATCATGGAAGTACCCAACTCCCGGAGGTCTTCTTTTAGTCACCTCCAAGAATCAAGTCGCTCGAAATAGCATTGGCACGCTGGAGCGGGCTGGTTCCCGGCCAGCCATTGCTCGAGGAACTCACTCCGGCATCACTTCCAAGAGAAAATACACACATGGATGATCGCATCTGCAGGGTTTCCGCAGAAGGAGAGCCGGCTCCAGGACTTCAAGCACCGACCTCTGGCTCGACGTCATCCCGTTGCGCCAGCCCCAGGCTGACATGTTATCTTAAAAACCGCTATCAGCACTCGAATGTAAACTTCCGAGCGGGACAGACTCGGAAGTCGGAAGAAGACTCAAACTCAGAGAAGCATCAATTAGATCGAGAGAAAAATGCTCACCTTGGGCTACAGCGTTGGATAAACAGAAGAGGACTAGCACGAACAGCTTCATCTCGGCGCGTGTGAATGTCGACTGATTTTCAAGTTTTGCGAATCCCTATTGCGTTTCATCGGTAATTCCATTAATCACAAGAGCGGATTTCGAGGATGTTAAGGCGATCTCTCGACGCGGACGACGACATTCTGTTCCTTTGCATTGCGTAAGTGCGTGAAGGAATATCATCCCAACATCATCAAATTATCGATTCTGAGACTTTTCTTCAGAAGCATTCCTTTTTCTGCGGGGAATATATCAAGGGAATCATTGAATCTGTAGAATAGAGCTTCGGTCCGATCACTTCCCTTGGAAGGTCTTTTCCGCCGTTCCAAAACTCTCGGCGTCGTCGTAGGCGTCATCGACGGAAATTCCACAGTTGGCTCCCCCCGGAGAGAGAAGACATCGTCACTTCGTAGAAGCGAAGTGACGATCCCGTCCTTCCGAGAAAATGCGTCAAGTCCGGCGATACCCTAGCTGCTCCTCTGAGATACTAAGGTGAAGATGAAATGTCTCTGACGACTAATTCCATGCACAGGCGAGCATAAGGAGAGTCTTTGATCACAATCGCCCTCTCTGAGGAAGATCATCGTGATGGAAGAATGCTCTAAGTAAGTTTTACGCATCTCTCGGAGTTCCCCGTTTTCCGGGATCGACGCCCAGCGTTCGACCAATGAGCTCCCGGGACATTTAGTCATCGAGCCGGTGTACTTCTCTGTTTTCTTCGAAAGCCGCGCTGTATACCTATTGAACGCGATGGAGGCAAGACACCGAGGGGAGACCCGACCTCAGCTCGCTCGTGAGGGTTTCAACCGACGTATTTTGGAAGGTACGCTGGACTGTCAATACTGATCAGGTGCCACTTGCCATGGAGCTCGACAGAGTAGTGTTCCGTGGAGAGATCCGACGAGAGGAGCCAGTCAGGGAGCAGGGGTCCCTTGCTTCTCCAGAATATACGTGTCGATGGAGAAAGGATTTCTGGGCCTATATTTCTCGAGCATGATTTCCGCGAACGATTTGCCGCGATCTCTGGAGCGAACGAGCTCCATGAATCTGACTTCCGTGACTTCAGCCGAGCTCACGGAAGCTATCACCAACCACAGCATATGCAGAGGCGGGTTGCCTCGAGGAGCTTCTGCCTCGGTGTTCTGGAGAGCAGCGGCGTACATCGGGGGGCCAGGGGGGCCTTCCCCCCCTGAACATAGCCTCGGTTCATTGAGCTCTCTGGGGATCATCATCATCATTCTGACTCCCCCCAAAAAAAATATCTGGCCCCTCTGGAGAGAGAAGGTTCAGCCCAAACTACAGATGTTTCTGTCCGCAGTATGGATCCTTGCACTAGGTCCGCATCGGAACGAGCAGAGAGGAATCTGAATGCCAGCAGCTCGTATCAGCACCAAATGAGGGAATTTATTCAAGTCATCGTCCTATGGAATTCTTACCATCACACTCAAACGACGGGCTAGAAACTCCTGAAATGAACCAGCCCTCTGGTTAGGTATCGGGGCGGCACGCGATCGAAATATTCCCAAACCCGGGCTCGAGCGTAGGTTCACTGAATGAGTCTGATATACACCTTTCGGCGTGATGCCCAAACGGTCGAGGCATCTCATATCCCCGAGAACTTGTCGTCCATGGAGCGAAAGAGACGGATTTCAGCTCCCACGCCACCAAAATATCGACGCCGACCGCATGGCTCGAAGGCTAGAACAGTGCCTCGAATTCTTGTGCTTAAAGAGCTTCTCATGAGATTCAGTGCCACGTCTGGTGTCTTGTGCCACTCTCCTCCCTGGCTGTCACTCGGGACGAGCCGCGTACTTACTCTGTTCGGACATCTCCCCACGTCGAATCTCATCCCACTTCATTCCATATCCCGCTTTAGAATAAAGCAGTAATGTCGGTCGGTCACCGTACCAAAACTCGGAGTTATTAGCGTGTGAAAGGACTTCAAATTACTTCGTGACGATGCAGAATCGTTCCTGCTAGCGTGAGAAGAAACTTTCCACTCGATCAATCGCATCGTTCTCAAGTCGTTCCGGAAAACTAGCAAGTTTTTCTCCGCTGTTCGCTGTATGTTTCCCCTCTCCCGTCAGCTCTATCCACATGATGCCCCGACCGTTCCGCCTCTCGCGAGTCGGCATAGCATGAGAGTCATGTTGTCAGGCGTGGTATCCCGACCGCAGGAGTCTGCGAAACTATGGGGACCGCTTGCTTTGCATTACCCGATGAGCCGATAGCTCCGAGATCGAACGCAGAGCTCTCCACAATATCTTAAAGTGAAATTACGACTGCTCCGGTGACAACCGCACGGTTCGAATAACGGCGCAGCAGCCTACCCAGCGAGCTTCTCTGAACCCCTACGAAGGCCCGAACCGCCTCGGGACCATAATCGGGGTGATCGGAGGATCGAGTGTCCCAATAGATTTTATTCCCGCCAGCTCCTGGAGCTCGTCGTCTTCCAGAGTTTGCGTGTCAGAATCGCATTCTATCAGGTTTCTTCGCATTCTATCATGTTTTTCCGAGCGCTCGACTCTGTGAAGTTATGAGGACAGCTCCCTTCGCGTTTCCATAACAATCGGGAGCTACGAAATCGAACGTAATGCTTTCCGAAGTTATTCCACAAGGAGATTATGTCCTCCATAATTCTGTAGTGTATCCGATAGACGATGCCCGAATATTTCACATTTCACCTGTTTTCATTCTTCCTGCTCCATGGCAGCGCTGGGAGAGTCCGACTCTGCATCCATGTATCTTCTCCATGTCCAATCGGAGTTCCTCCGTTTCCGTTGCGAACGACTTCGACAAAAAGAACGTTGAGACTCACGCGCGGACTGCGCACATTCTTCAAGAGATTCAGCGACGAGTACGAGATATCTAAGCAGTGGTTGTCCGTGATCTGTGCCTCCTGTCGACAACTCTCGACAAACTCGCTCGGGGCTTCGATCCGGCACGCGGGCGCGAAGCGCCCTCATGTCTAGTACTCCATGATTGTCTCACTGAAGAATTAGGGAACAAGTAATGCCTCTTCAGCGCACTTGTTGGATCGAATCGATTCGACTGACAATAATATTTTCATCAACTCGGGGACCAGACGCTCTCATTGGGGCTTAATCGCCCGGATGGAGGGAATAAACTCCTCGACTGAGAATCCCGTCGCGCCGTAGCTGAAAACTGATAAGTCACACAATGAAGGCTCTGCAAACCGCAGCCAACCGGGGTCAGCCTCGAGGATCAAGCGATCCGCAAGTGAGTTTGGGTTCGAAATTCCGCCGCTCAAGAACCATGCCGCCTTCAAATATCGGCAATTTCTCCATCCATTGCAAAGCCAGAATCCCTTCAACGTCCCCTCCGGACGTATCGTAATCAGCACCTGGAGATCCCGCAGAGGGATGGGGCATCGAGAGTATCGTCCTTGGCTCACGGCAGCTCTTCGAAACACGATATATCAATCGATCATCTGATGGAGGAAATGACACTAGAGACGGGCGGCGTGTATATTGAATGGCAGCTCGGACGAAGCAAATGCGCGACGCGCAGAGGAAGAGCGCTGTTGCCAATAATGAGTAGGAGCGTTGAAAATGTTGCATTTTGATATCGCGGTATCTAGTCTCCCGGAGAGTGACAGTAGGCGATCCTGAGCTCAAGAAGGACGGTAATCTGAAAAGGAAAGATGAGACGTCTCGATTCCAATCCTTTGAGATATAAACTCTTACCGCTCCAGGTATCCTGGGCATCACTGTCGACTTCCTTGCACACGTTCACGACGGCGCTGTCCAAATCCGAGCTCTGTGCACCCATTGCTCGGATGACCGGAATGAGTTCATTCTAAGCAGCTGACGACGAAACGCAGCCAAGGGACTACATTCGAAGTCCGCTTCCGTGGGTGAGATAAGCGAGATTCCGATCGGAATATAGAAGTTGGGAGTACCTTGACTCTTTCGAATGAAGATTGCCCGAATCGTATGAAAATTCCCGACACCCACAGAAATGAAGTGTGCGGAGTCAGACGAGCCCTCAAGGGCAGCGCAAGCAAGTGAGTGAGATGACTCGATAATAAGGAATAGACGAACCGCTTCGAAGAGAAAGTTTCATTCCCATCTGCCAGAGTATTGCATGAATTGCGACCTCCTTGGTAGGGATGTGTGCGCTGTATCCTGGTTCGCGATCGCGGGAAAGTTTCCCGTCATCGGAACAATTCGCAGGCGCTGCGATTTTCCCCTAAGAACCTCTTCCTCTCCGCTTCGTGTTGCGCGAAACTCCTCGACCCAGATTGTCTTGTGATACGGGATGACTATTCCGTTTTCAGCTCTCAGCGGGAGTCCGACGGTTTCTACGATAGATGATAAGTCCGAAGATAGAGATCGCATCAAGTCGACCCGTGACTCGAGTATGTCACGGGACTCCGTAATCCCATCGTTTGGCTACATTGTCATGAATGACCCGGCGACGAAAAGCCAGGTCTGCTGTCCTTCGATGTCGAAGTCTGCTCGCACACTGACGAAAATAGTCGGTATCGGACTTCTGATCCCCGCACTAGCATTCCTCATCTTATACGTAATGAAAGCACAAACAGAAGAAGTCCAAGAAAGCGGTAGCTGGACCGGAGGTGAGATTGAGGAGTTAAGCAGCACTGTCGCAGCACATCGACGCGAATCATGACGGGCGACTCGTGCGAAACGAAAATCTAGCCGAAAGCGAGCGCATTCCTCTCGTCACCGCCATTTCTTATGACTTATGACGATTCCAGCGACCGATCTTGGAGATACACAAGTGACAGCAGAGCAGGAGATAAAGACAGAGACACGAAATAGTGGTGCAGGA